CACCACGTTTGAGATCTAAAAACAACTAGTTCTGAGTAAAACACTAATCCCTTCGAATGATGAGATAAATGGTTTCTGCCCTTGTTTTGAGACTATTGCTATGGCGACGTTAAAAACAGGAACTGCTCACTCTTCAGGGAATCCTGTGGAGTGAAAAGCCTCTAATCCTCCTTGCTTGGAGAAACCACTTTTCATTTCCTTCAACAAACTTTTTTTTTTTTAAATCGGAGAGGGATTTTTCCACTTTATTAACTTTTTTTTTTAAAAAAAACCCAACCATAATGATAAAAATTGAAAGAAAATAAAGCAAGAGAGAGAGAAGTAGATCAGAGATAGTGTGAAAAAGTGAAAACTATAGAAAGAAAGAGATTGGAAACCATTTGTCTGAAATGGTCTAGGGGTTTCTGCCTAGGCAGGGGGTTGGACTAGAAGACCTCCAAGGTCCCTTCCAACTCTATTAATCTATTCTATTCTATTCTATTCTATTCTATTCTATTCTATTCTATTCTATATTCTATTCTATATTCTATTCTATTCTATTCTATTCTATTCTATTCTATTCTATTCTATTCTATTGGTTTTTTTGTAAGCCCACCAGAGATAGTAAAATGTTCCTTCTTGGTTTTTACATTTTTTTATTCTCACAGCCTATGTTTGAAGTCCCTTTTGTACATGTTTTGACAATTTACCCAATGATAACTGCTATCTATGTATCATTATATGCAAATCTTCTTTAAGGTAATAACTTGCTGTAAATTTCAATCCATCTGTCCACATGCTTTCCCATTGATTAATTTGTATATTGTATTGAATTTTTTTTTGCCCATCTTATGCAACTTTTAATTAATTCTTCTTCTGTTGGTAATTTTAACAAAAACTTATCCGTTTTGGCAGTCACTCTTGGCTCATAATTCTATTTCAAGTGTGGTTTTTTTGTTCTGTTCAAAAACTTTCACTCCTTGATCAATTTTAAACCGTACTGAGAAAGTTGCATATATACGAAAACCATTGACATTTGAAACCTTCTGTTATTAAAACTTCTGTGGGTTTTAATTTAATTATGCCCTGGGAGTATTTTCATAGGTCACCATATCTTCACCATTTCTGTTTAATTGCCATTTTTTTCCTATAATATTCTTCTTATAGAGGTAGCCATAGAGCTAGTTTAGTTATATTCTAAATTTGTATTTGTTCCAAATTCTCAGGATGGTTCATCTAATAAAAGGATTTCCAAAATGATTCCAAAACATTGAATTTAATCCTCTTATGCCACCCAAATCTCACATCATGTCCTTCTAGATCTAATAATTTTCAACGTCACCCTTGCCTTCAAAATACAATTTCAGTTTTGGCAATGCTAACCCTCCTCTCTCTTTAGCATGACACAGGATCTTAGAATAATGGCCTTTTCTCATTCTTCTCCCTTTTTCATAAAGGAAGAGGCTTCATTTCAATTTGTCTGAGACTGACTGTGAACAATGAATTATTTCTGTGGCAATTATCTACTTTTGTCGATTACCTTGCAGCGTTTAATTTTCTCTGTGGCCCTCCAACCCTCTGTTTTCTGTGTAAGGAATGATGAATCACCCCTTTCCCTTTTGGGCTGTTTTTTAAAATCCAATGGATATATTCAAGATGAAGTATTGAATGGAAAGGGTTCAATAGGGAGTGGATGGTGTGTGGTGTGAGGTGTGCTGCAAAGGAATCGACTGTTTTCGCAGGGAATTAAAAATGGATATCTAAGAATTTGTGAGGGATGGGAGGGGTGGCGGAAGCATACAAAAGGGAGTTGAACGCAGTTGGATTGGGATGTGTGAGAAAGAAACAAGAA